TGAAGAATGTTTTTTGGGTGAGAGCCACGTGAAGAAGACGGTGGATGAGTCTGAGTTGTGATTCCCTGGGTACTCAATCGCAGGGCTTGATCGCAAGTCTTGAGTTGGAATACGCAATAACAGCTAGCTGCCAATGCTCTTTGAGGTCTGTGAAATGAACCAGACTGTCGGCATTGCAAAGAAACCCGTGCGGTCCCCCGTCATAGACTTCTGCCACCATCCACAGGCGGCAGCAATGTCCAATATACGAAAGGTGCCTGGCCTTGTCGCATCAACCAAATCACGGACGTTGTGATGCGCTACCTTGAGTTCTCAATCATCGACCACGATCATCATCCAAGGGATGCAATAGCTAAGGAACAGGGTAATCAAGGGCTCGTAGCATCTTCAATATTGTTGATGTTGATGAAAAATGCCTTAGAGTCCTCTGTATTGGATCTCTTTCATCATGTTCTGCGGGAAATCCGGTGGAGACGTCGCCATACATCAAGAGTCTCAAACTCGGCAGATTCCAAAACACAATCATCGCAAAGGGACAACACAGTGGCACAAAAAAAACCGTAAGATAACGCACAAATAAATCACAATGGTACCTACTATTTGGTTCAAATTCTGCTGTGACATAGCACCACTTGGTGGTGCACTGGGTCCTGGAGTTGGTGCAGAGTGAACGGGTGTTCCAGGTAATGGTTGCTGGGAAGGCATCGCCATTCCGTTGCCGTTTACACCTGGTCCCATACTGCCACTGCGAGGTCCAGGGCTTGGGGCTCCGCCAGGTGCCGACATAATCGACGACTAATCGATGACAACTTCGAGACAGATCCTCAAACTGCGACGGAGGATGGATGGCAACGGAGCCGGGTTGCGTACAATCGTCGGCGATTTATACGATGGACTTAGGTGGTCAGATATCAGTGTTTTTTCTAATGTATATAGCGCCCAAAGTTATATGGGACTTTGAGCGTTCACCGATAGAATAGTGGATTTGATATCTTGAATTTGATATCCCGACGAGCTGGGCTACCTCACCGCTTATTAAGACCTTCCCAGCTTCCAACACGTGACTGCAACCGTCAAGCTTCCCATCTCTGTTGCGATCTCGATCTCTCATCCTACAATCAAAAATTCGGTGGAGTTGATTTCAATGCGGACACAACTATCTATCTTCTTCTTCATATAACCCCAGATAAAACCCCAGATCATTGAAAATGAGCGAAAAAGCACCGGCGCAAGAGCTACCTATCTTTACCTCTGCCGATCGCATTCGACAGCTGAATGATATGGACAAGGTACTACGGTCATGTAATTTATGCAGGAGCAATTTTCTAAATTTTCATTTTCAGGATGTTACGAGACTTCTTCATTCTGCTGGTCTCGCGATCCAAGCCTTGACCAATGCCAAACCGGGCCCCTCCTCCGTTGCGCCAGATGGATCACTCGACTCACACAAAACGCGGTTCAAAGAAGCAAGCGCGAAATACTTCGCGCTTCTATCCTCAGCTGACGTGTTCCTCCGCCGCCAGATCTACTCCCTGGAGGAATCATCTCTCGTAGGTCCCGAGAGGCCCTCGCGTGCAGGAGAGACAAAAGCTGCAGCCAGAAACGAAGGAGTCGCAGGAGTGAAATCGCGAGCTCCAAACTCACTGGATATCAGTCGGCTCAATAGCCGGAAGGATACAGTTGGAAAAGATAAGGAGGCCGAATTGTGGGCGGCTGCTCGTCAATTCGTTGAGCAGATGCAAAAGCCATCCGAGACAAGCAAGGATTCTAGGCCAGTGAATGGACTGGAGGACATGCAGGTGGATTAAGTGATGAGATATTCGTTCATTTGGCGCAATTGGTCGAGCTTGCTTCATGCGTTTATGATACCCCAGGCTATATGCTGCCACTGGCACTGAAGTTACAAATACAACAAGTCCCATTGGAAGATGATACGTATAATTAAAGCGAGCCAAGTACATCTGTAGCCAATGCTAAGCACAAAGTGTGTATGGATCAGTGTTCGAGCATATATTCACAAAACTGCGCTATACAAAACGGAATCGCATCGACAGGTATAGTTCGTCGGCGAAGTCGAGCAAGACAATTGTCGGGACAGTTAAAATGACTACTTCTGCATAGACATGATCATTTCCCGCTGGGTTTCCCGGTCTCTGTTCGCATCAGACAGGGGGCCCAAGCCTAGATTCAAGTTAGCATATTGTAGTGGCATGGGTACTATGTGCATCCACTTACTTCGGAGCTCGCCAACTACATCCTTCGCCTTGCCGAAGTACACCTCCTCTGTGATATGAAAGCCTAGGTCAGCATAAACTCCTCAAACCAGTACATGACGACGAGAGAACGAAACATACGTAGCAAGTTTCGCATCTTCAATTCCATATCTTCGACCAGCCTGCCTACATTGGCGACATGACTAGCATCCGACTCCACAGGCAAATCAACTTCCACTTGGCGAGTCATGTTCCCGCTAAGGTCCATATCACCAAGAGCCTCGGTTTTGTTGGCCAGGTGGAGGATAACGGTACTAGTGAGTTTGTAGTGGGACATGCGAGCGCGGTCGGTGGCCTCGAAAACATGAATACTGTCCCATTCGCCGGAGCTCTGGGAACCCGGGGTGACACCTAATCGAAATTGAAAGTCAGTCGCAATGTAAAGCATGGAAAGTAATCCGCTGTCAGTTCGTAACGCACCCTTCTTCAATAGAATTACACCAGCAAATCCATCGTCCAAATCCCAGAAATAAACACTCCCCACACCTCCTTCATAGTACAGTTCGCGGTAAACATCGAACGACTCGTTGGCGGCAACCTCGAGCTTGCGCACTCGTTCACTGGGCACGGTGCCATCCTCAAGTGGAGGATAAAACTCATTGCTCCATGGTGACCGGTAGCTATCACCGTCGCGGTTGTAGTCACAGAGCAGATAGTCACGGTTGCTTTGCGGGCAGCGACGAATCTCCAGGGGCTGATCAACAGAGGAAAGGAGGTCTTCTGTGAGCTCGGGGACGATTGAAGTGATTGCTTGCAAGTTGGTCTTGGTGTCCCGCGGGTTTAGGCGCCGAAGGAGGTCGCTGCAGAAGGGGATGGTCAGCTCACTTGTCTCCGACTGCATGGGGCGGGGTTGCATCGGGGTCTGGGATTGTCATGGCGAGTGACATAGTCGGGGGGCAAAGGGGTCTATAGTGTCATATGGGTAGCGAGACAGGTTACTCACAGTGCGCTGTCAAATTGTGCATCAGCCATGGTTGCGAAGGTTTGTTGTATATCTGTTGCTTAACGAATGGCGGTGTTGATCTTGGGCAGGTGAGGTGCGTGCGTATTTCGGGCTACATGCGTGGCAGAATCCAATATCTAACTATAGCCATTGCATTGCAATTTATCAACTTCGACAGCACCCATAAGAAGACGAGAATAGACTACACCACTGTATGGCTACCGACTTTCATTTTCATCTTCTGCATTCTTTGGCGATCTTTAATTCCTTATCCAGCGTATGAAATTGTCCCACTTTCTACAAGGTCTTCATGGAGAAGACAGGCGATTGTTGGATCTTCAGGGGGTTGGCAAGTAATGGAGAAAATCAGAGACATGAGATGATTCTGTGCTAGATTTGTCTGTTTTTAAGGAGAAGCAGTAGCGAGACTCATCTCCTCCTGCCACCACCCCGCAAAGACATTCAACCTTTCTGTCCGTACCCTAGCCATCTTCCTCCCCGTGGCAGTCTTCATCATCCCCTCCAGCTTAACCAACTTGTCCCCAAAATGCTCAATAGAATTATCCATCTCCCATTTCCCATCAACGCAGTACTTTTTCCCTACAGCTCCAAGGAAGGTAAAACACCTGCCAATTCCAACAGCCCCTATAGCATCAAGTCGATCAGCGTCCTGGACAACTCCAAGCTCGACAAACCCATCCTCTTCAATCATCCTCCGGATCAACACCGGGTCCTTGCATTCAGTCGTATAAGAAACATGTGACACGATCGTCTGCACCCTGGATGCGAGTTCTGGCGTCGCACCCCGCGCAAGGAGCGCGTGCTCGACCATTGTCATTGAGTTGAGCTCTTGGCTTCTAGGAGCTGCATCCATTTTGGATAGGTACTTTCTGTCACCAATATCATGCAACAGTGCTGCAAGTTTGACAACTGCCCCGTTGTATTCCGTGGTTGGGTGTAATGCCCGCTCTGCTTCCAGGATCTTGTTGGCAAGCGCTCCCACTCTGTGGACATGTGCTGGGTTATGAGATGGGTCGTGGCCTGACATGCAATCAGTCACGAAAGCGGACATCTTGCTGAAGAGCGCTTGGAATTCTTCGCTGGCATCATCCATTGTGGGCCCTTTGAACCCAGTTTTGGGGGGATTGGGAGGTTTTTTGCACGATGATACGGACTGAATGATACCCAGGACTTGTGCCAATGGTGTAAGTTGGAATTTTATAGTAAAGGGACTCTTGGATGCTATGTTTCTAGGCAACAGCACCACATTCTGAAGAAAATCCCCAATTTCCACCCCCCCCCCCCCGGCAGTAAATAATTCTTGGCGGTGAATATTTGACTCGTTTTTTTCGCGCCAACATATGGCCACGGAGATTACCCCAGGATGCATTTTGTAATCCTGAATTTTGTAAACCGTATGTTTCCATGGAATTGTGCGAACAGCTCCATATTTGATAGATAAAGACAGGCCCCTTAATTGTGCATGTGAGGTGCCAACTTTGCGGGGACTGGTCCGCAAAGAAAGCGTTGTGACTATAATGTTGAGAGCTCGCTATGCAAGGTCTATGATTGTATTCTAAGAGAAAGTTGATTAAAACGGTCGAAAAATCTATCGGGCCTTTTGGAAAAAAGCTCGTAACTGATATCCAAGACAACATCATACGGAAGAAAGGAAAATTATGTTACAGGGCCAACGGGGCTACCCCAAAGATCCAGACCGGGGATAGTCCTATACGACCATGCCAAATTACAAGATCGTGGACCGATGACTTAATTCGATCTGGTCACAGAGCAAGGGCAGCAACAACCAAGCCAAAAAGACCAGCAGCGGAGGCACCGAGCTTCACATTAGCAGCGGCGTTGGTGGTTTGCTGCGAGAAGCCCGAGGAGCTAGTAGCAGTGGCCGAGGAGGTAGAACCATTTTTATCGATGTTGTCATTGCTGTCATTGTTGCTCAAAGCTGAGGGATGATGTTAGCAGGGTTCCGTATCGACCAAGGTGAATGTGGACATACACGTGGAATCAGTGCCCGACGAGTCAGAGCTAGTCTGTGTGGTAGTGCTGCCCGTGCTGGAGGTTGGGGAAGAGTAGGTTGTAGTTGCACCGCTACCGTTGCCGCCCCAGAAGTGGGAGTTATAGCAAGATTGCTCACACTCGGCATACTTCTGGGTGTCGGCCGGAGAGCCGTTACCCTGAGGGCAGGCAGAGACACACTTGTTGGTGTCATTTACTTGGTTATCGCTGGGACAGGGTACATGGTAGCACTTGGCTGTGCAGCAGATATCTGTTGCATCGCCTACAGTTGAGGCTGGATTAGTAACAAGCTAGGGACTAGAGACCGCGAGAAAAGGCAACTCACAGCTCTTGGCGCATTCAATCTCGGCAGTGGTAGTAATGGTTGAAGGATTCAAGGTGGTAGTGTCTGCGGCCGCGACGAAGGCCAGCAAGGCCGAGAGTGCAAGGATGCTGAACTTCATGTTAAGTACACACAAATCAAGGAATGATCAGATCAGTAAAGGAAAAAGCGATGGGAAGTAGAGACAGTTTATTGAAAAAAAAAGAGTGGTAGATGTTGGGTGGGAAACGGGCAAATAGCGAAGTATTAAATATCATTGACAACAAGCCCACAAGGCAAACGGATACCCTTGGCACTGACTTCTACTTTGCCTCAAAACAAAACCTAGAGACAAAAACAGGTTCACCATGGATTCACATGTGTGATGTCTCAGATTCATTCTGAGGATGTCAAGATTTGGCGCTTTGGTTTTGACGGGCCAAGTCCATTCATGATGCACGGCGATGATCTTACTTCCCCGGGAAAGGGTACTGTGCAGGACAACTCTCCCTTAGAAATGAAATCTCTTTTTTGTCTCAAATTGAGACCATTGGTGACACCAGACTCGTCAAGTTGGACAAAATTGATTGAGTTCAGGCATTAGCTTGTGAGCAAGGGACCAGTCCTTTATTCGCTGCGATATACTGCCGTTCCCATTGGCCCTCAGAGCTGGGAAATAGAAAATTGAAAGTCACAAAGAGCAGAAAAGATAGACGTAAGGTTGCAGTTGGTACGGAATACATCATCCATTGCACGCAACCATGGGGCTACTGATTGTGAGGTGGGACATCAAGATAGAACGGCGATTATAAAAGGGGCAATGGGACCAGGCACATGTGAAATGCGATGGATACTCATGAAATAGGAATTCCGCCAGCACCTTTGTAGGTAGTATATAATCCGTAGCTCGTCTAGGCTTGGCCATTTGGGAAATGAAGTGCTTTCAAAGATTTGGCGCACCTGGGCAAGGGTCAAATGCAAACTTTACAAACACTACTTTATCACCTGACTACGCGACGCGACGCGAGAACATGCGAAGTGCACTGGGAACGCCTTTCAACTACCCACGCGATGTCGACTAACTCCGAGTCAGATTACTTCGATGATGACGACTTTGTAGTCCCTGGAACCCCCGATGGGTCCTCGCGTCCCGCAAAACGCCGCCGCATTCGAAATCGTGGGAAAGAGCGCGAAGGTGACGATAACGGCTCTTCGATCAACTCGTTCTCTGATATGGAGGATGACGATTTACTCTCCGGGTACCGAGAATCACCTCCTGGATTTGATGAATACCGTGATCGCCCCAAAAATAAGAGCTGTGTGTTGAAGCAAGCCACCATCCAAAATAACATGTTCGTCACGCAACTCACGCAACCCTCCTCAAGTCCGGAACGAATACGGGGTCCGCGATGGCAGAAGCCTGTTGCAAAACCATCTCAACCAAAATTTGAAACTAGAGAACAGGATAGTGGTGGTGGACAGGAGGGAAATCATTTCCATGACGATGAGGAGTTGATGGCCGCTATCGCAGCTTCCTTGGATTCATTTGAGGAGGAGAAAACAACAAGAGAGGCCTTCCGGTCCCCAAGTTTATCAAAAAATTCTGTCACCAAAACGCTTGCCCCGCTGGAGAAGACAAACTCGCGTGTCTCGGTGGATATCCCGTTTGAGCTGGAGGACATACCTGAAGGTGCATTTGATTCTTCGCCATCATTGTCACCAGTAGCACGGCCAGTCCAGCCTGCAGTTCCGCAATTTAATCAATCCCGAGGCCCAATTCGACAACCTCATCTAAGACAGAGCACACTATTTGGCATGATTGCCCCAAGCTCCGAGATCTTGGGACCGCGACAACAAGACTGGGGTACACCAGAGAAGACTGAACCACCGACCCATCACAAACTTGTAAAAGAGGCTTTAGAAACATGGGTCTACCCCACAAATTTGGGCAAAACCAGAGATTACCAGTTCAACATCACTCAGGCAGGCCTGTTTCACAATCTACTCGTGGCCTTGCCAACAGGGTTGGGAAAGACATTCATAGCGGCTACAATTATGCTGAACTGGTTTCGCTGGACGAAAGATTCACAAATCATTTTTGTAGCACCAACGAAACCCTTAGTTTCGCAGCAGGTTTCAGCCTGCTTGGACATTGCCGGGATCCCACGCTCGAAGTCGACCATGCTCACTGGAGGGGCATCTCCTGGCATTCGCGCCGAAGAGTGGAAATCGAAGCGGGTGTTTTTCATGACACCCCAAACACTGATCAATGACCTGAAGACCGGAATCGCCGATCCAAAGCGAATCGTGTTGTTGGTGGTTGATGAAGCTCATCGCGCGACGGGTGCCTATGCATATGTGGAGGTGGTCAAATTCCTTCGACGCTTCAACAACAGTTTCCGCGTGCTCGCGCTTACAGCAACGCCGGGCTCCACGGTCGAATCGGTGCAGGCGGTTATTGATGGCCTGGACATAGCGCGTGTCGAAATCCGTACAGAGAACTCAATTGACATTCGCGAGTACGTCCACGCTCGCAATATCGAAATAGAAACATTTGAGAATTCAGATGACATGGTTTTTTGCATGGACCTCATGTCTACGGCCTTGCAGCCTTTACTTGACCAACTCCGGACCCTCAACGCCTACTGGGGACGTGACCCCATGGGGCTAACAGCATACGGTCTCACAGTGGCGAGACAACAATGGATGCAGTCCGACGCGGGTCGGAATGCCCATTTCGGCTTAAAAGGCAAAGTCAACTCAATCTTCACTGTTCTTGCTAGTTTAGCCCACGCTATCGATCTGCTCAAGTATCATGGCATCGTGCCTTTCTATCGCCATGTCGTTCATTTCAAATCAAACTCCGAGGGACAAAAGGGCGGAGGTGGCAAATACCAAAAGCAAGTTGTACAAGATGAAAGCTTCAAGAAATTACTCAGCCATCTTGAACCATGGAGTAAGAACCCAGAGTTCATTGGTCACCCGAAATTGGAATATCTCAAGTCAGTAATTTTGAATCACTTCATGGATAGGGGGGAGGGGAAAGAGGTGTCTGACGGCACTAGTCAGCCTGCGACTCGCGTCATGATCTTTGTGCATTTCCGCGACAGCGCTGAAGAGGTCACGAGAGTGCTCAAAAGATACGAGCCCATGATTCGGCCTCACGTTTTTGTGGGTCAATCAAGCGCTAAAGGCTCTGAAGGCATGGACCAGAAGACGCAACTCAGGATCATTGATGATTTTAAAAAAGGCACATACAACACGATCGTTGCGACCTCCATTGGCGAGGAAGGATTGGATATTGGAGAGGTTGATCTGATCGTGTGCTTTGACTCGTCGGCATCGCCTATTCGCATGCTCCAGCGCATGGGTCGAACTGGCCGTAAGCGGGCCGGTAACATCACTTTGCTATTGATGAAAGGCAAAGAAGAAGACTCCTACAATAAGGCTAAAGACAATTATGAAAAAATGCAGCAGATGATTGCCAGCGGCTCAAGATTCACGTTCCACGATGATCGTTCTGCACGCATCTTACCCGCGGGCATTCGTCCAGTGCCCGATAAACGACAGATCGACATCCCCCCAGAGAACTCGCAACACGAACTACCCGAGCCGAAGCGCAAAGGGCGAGCACCGAAGCGACCTGCCAAAGTGTTCCACATGCCCGACGATGTGGAGACAGGGTTCACTCGAGCCTCGACTTTGGCTGGCGACAAAAATCAGAAGAAAAAAGCCACTGCATCCAAAAAGGCAGCAACTCCCAAAAAGAGACCCCGGACCCCCACGCCCGAGCCTGTGGATGTTCCATCGGTGGAGGATGTTGTTCTCAGCAAGAGTGAGCAAACTGATCTTGAACATCATTATCAGAATATCGGTGCCACTTCTCCGCAGTTCATTCGGTTCCCCCGCAACGACGCCTTTCCACGTTTGCAGCTGATTGAAAGGCCCACAAAGAACGTCAAGCATGGCTCCCTCACGCGACGTATGGTGACTGCCCTGCAGAAGATGCATGAAGCCGGCCCTAACTGCGACCATCGATTCAAAGAGATTCTGGCCCGCGAACCCCCTTCGTCGGACGAGTCCAGTCAAACGCTTTGGCCTGATTCAAAAGAGAAGCATCAACACAATGCAAAGCCCTTGAAAACGCCATCTAAAACGACCGCTCGACGAGCTTCCACCAAGGCCACTACAAACCCCGCTGGCGGGGGGGTTGTTTCCTTGTTATCTCCAGATCATCAACCCAAGCACAAGAACGATCGTTTTGCATCCATAGATGATGACTTCGGAGATGATGACTCGGATTTTGAGCTGATGGATGCTAGCCTTTTGTTTAGTAGTGGGTCTAAACCCAAGGGCCGGAAACCAAACAGACCAATTATTGAAGATAGTGACGAGTGATGGAATAGAGACAGGCGGTAGAAGCTATTGGGATATAAGGGGGCTCTTGCCACGTTTGAACATAGAACGCCATTGGATACACTTTATCATATTTATTCCCATAGCTAGACCTGCATAGGTCGTACAATAAATTGGTCACTGCTATTACATGTACAATCATTCCTGGTTATACACAGAGAAAGTCCATTTCATAGATTGGCCTTTTTCTATCGCCTGGATTGTGGCTAGAACACCAATTTTAGGAGAAACGTCCAAGCAAAAATCCTTCAAAAACACGTCTTGAGGCCGCACATACAGCCGAATTTTCTTATGGAATATTTTATGGAATGTTATGATGGAACGTATCCAAACCTGCCTACCTCTTTACCGTTATCACTCCTACACTATGTGCATACACGGAACACGTTATATGTTTTTTTGGTGCTTTGCAGCTATTTATTTCCTGGTGGTTGTAATCTATTCTAGCTTAGGGCTTGTTGAAAGGGTGCATGTCACTCCCACTGCCCTAAAAGAGAAATTAACCTGACTGTGAATCATCGTCAAACCTCCCATCTATCAGAAAATGAAAACTCCAGGAACGTTCGGGGCTGGATCTGGGTATTTCGGTATTTGTGTGTTTGTGAACGATATCAAACGTGGAACGTCAATTCGAGAGCAAAGAAATCCGAGAGCCGAAAACAACCCACCTCGAAAGAAAAACAGATAGTATGGGTTGTGTATGTGTTTAGAATGTAGATAGTCAAGGCGAAATAAAATCGAAAGGAGGGGAGAGAGGAGGAAATAGCAAGTACCAGACTCCAGTTGCGATCGGCGACGGCGCACGAGCAAGACTTCTAAACCAATGCAATGAGTGCAGAGGGAAAACAAGACGATTGAGAGGAGATGTAGAGTCAATCAGACACGATCCCTAGCAAAGTCAAGCACCTCACAATCATCTTCAAAGAAACCGTCGTCGGCTTTCAGTGGAGTGAAGTGTCTCTTCTTGCGACGAGTGGTGATAACAACTTCCTCCACATTGGCTGTGCTGTTTCCAAGAGTAATGAGGTTTTCTATATCTCCCCCAGCCCCAAGCGAATGTCCATGGATGACGGCATTCTCATCCTCGTCATCGCCATGTTCATCGCTAGAGCTGTTGAAGGGCCTCAAGTGTACTTTGGTTAGCGGGATATCGTTGCCAAAGACCCATTGTCCACTCGGTTCACTTGCATCGCTGCCAGAGGAGAAGACACTCAAGCCAACTCGCTGGTCCGTGTGAAACGGCTGATATGGGGTATTTGTCTCAATCTCCGCCTGGGAAAGAGGCTGACAAAACGATCTTGCAGCACTAGATGGCTGGAAAGTGACCGAGGGAAGAACAAGAGAGGCATGGACTTCTAGTTCTGGATCAAAGGCAGATAAAGGAGCCGATCCACAAGGACCCTGGAGATTGTCAGGTAGTTTGATCTGAGACTCTTTACCGCCGACAACGGAGTGAGGTTGTCGGTTCTTGTGGCCGGGTACATTAGCCCGCTTGAGGCGGTACATCTTGAAATACCCGCCATCCACAACACCCAAGAATATGAGACCCTTGCTGCAAATCCATGTCACCCGGGAGGGTGCAAGGTCTCGAGCTAGCCCGGGCAAGTGTAAACGGTTCTCTCCGACATGGCGTAAAGTATTCACAGTACCTGTTGCAGCACCCATCGACTTGCTCAGGCCTGCAGCGACAACCTTCCCGCTCTTTACACTGGCAGCAGAAGGTAACGCAAATCCACTCATATTGGGAAATGCAGCGCCCGTAGATGGGACACGACCCCGGACAGCGGAGAAGAATGGCTGCGTTTTACCGCCTACCAACTTCATGGCTGCTGACAACGGGTTGCCACCCACAGCTTGACCAGTCACCTCATCTGTCATCGGGTCGGGAGCCGGCGGCTTGTTTGTAGTAGGCTTTGCACGGCGAAATGGGGGCCATTGGAATGCGCTTCGGGGTAGATCGAAAACGTGGACGGTGCCTTTACGTGTAATTACAGCCAATCTATCGCCCACCGGCGCAGTCCAAATCACATCAACTATACTAGATGTAGTCAACCGTGCGTATCTAGCAATCTGGCGCACATTGGGATTCTGCCCAGTCTGGTCATCAGCCATAAAAGCCATAGACCGACAGTGCTTGAGTTGCATGAGATCCCACACGTATTGCACATCGCCCTTCTTGCTCGCTGTGAACAACATCAAGCCATTCGGAGAAAAGGACAAGAAGCTGCAACCATTAGGAACCTGAAACGTCGAGACTGGGTGGATAAACACGTTTCGCATATCTGTGCCGTCTTCGAATCGTCTCAGGTCAATGATGGATACGGTGTCTGGCTCTGTGGCTGACGTTTGGGTATCCTGTGCATGGGTTGGAGGTAATAAGCCATATCCCTGTGTCTGTGGGTCTTGTGCCTGAGGTGGCCGTCGTGGAGAGGTGCCGGCTGACTGCTGGGTATTCCAGTAATTGTTCCAGGCCTGCATGCCCTGATCACCCATCCAGCGGGCACCTCTAACGAGTTCTTGGGCAACGCCTCTTGCCATTTTGTCAAAGAAACTCTCCCCTTCTCCTACATCTGTTGTGCACGACACTGAGGGTACAGCAGGAGGATTACGAGTTTCAATGCCCGCAACCTTGCCAAGAATCAGACTGGAAGGAACAGTGCCCTGGATCGATCCTCTGTAGGCCGAGGATGGGGGAGCGAATGCAAGCCACCTTCCTTGTACGGCTAAGATGGGACTTTCCAGGGTAGAAACCCCATTAGGAGAGTCAGTGCGAGTCCCATCTGGATCAGTTGTAGAACTTGAAGAGGCCGAGTAACGCCGGGTTTCTTTAAACTGAACCCCAGTCCATGTCTTACCCAGACACTGGTATGGAGTGGTATCTGGGGATAGGAGATGTCTATAAACATAAACTTCCCCGCTGACGCCGGATGCTAAGATAATGTAGATACCGGTTGTGAAGAGCTTCAATTTTCCAATAGGCGATGGTGCAAAGGATGGGACGCCAGGATAACTTTCCAGACATGGCACAGGCTTGCTTGCAAACAAGGTAGAGATATGTTCGCCGGTTCGGAAAGAGTAAACTTCAACTCGGGTTTGGTAGAATTGGATGTCTTCTCGCGCTGAGCGCTTGTCGTTAAAGTGACCGCGAATAGTCGAGGGAGGAATTTCATTTGCATCCGATGTTGCAGACGACACTCGACCTTCCTCCTCATGTGGCGGCAACGGCCCATGAACAATGACAGCTACATGCGGCTGGGACGATGAAAACGGGTCGCTGATTGGGCTGCCATATAAGAGTTTGGCTTCGATTACACGGCCATTTAGCCCAGTGATCTGCCCCACGAGCCGAGTTCGGCAATCTTCGATGGCGAGGATCTCAACGGCGCCATCTGTCCCAACCAGCAAAACGTTCATTCCGGTTCGCGAGCCTTTAGGTGACAAACTAGGCAGTGTATCGAAGCTACAAAATGAGTAACTTCCGTTGGTGGTTGATCGATTTTGAGTTGGAAGGACATCAATATCCGGTGCTCCGAAGAAATGTGCTTGAGGGAGGTGGGGGGGAGGTGCGTGATTATTCATTGGGCCCCCGTAAGAGTGGCTCTTTCTTCTGTCTACAGACTGTTGCCTCGAGTTCAGACTGCTTCGGTAGCTATGACCATAGCTAGATGGTAAAGTCCGAGTCTGAGGAGATGCCGAGGAAGGGTGAATGAAGCAACTCCTTTCTTGAATCGTTGGAAAGTTCAAGGGCGATGCACTAGGCAGCGATGCACTTGGGATATCCCCATCCATTAGATCGGTGGGCGGGCTCTTTCCATAGGGCACCGACTGCGCCCACGTGTCGGTGCGGCTAGTGAGGTCGTCACCCGCTGGCTCATCGAGAGAGTCGAAGACATCCAAGACAGGAGACGTGATAATTGGGTTCACATGACGTTCAATAAGATGTTCAGGATCTGGGAATGAAAGAGACTCTTCTGGTATTGGGGCAGAGGGTTGTAGACTATCCATGCAATCTGGCGTTAATGGCGCGCATTCATCAGAAAACAGGCAATCAGCGGTGGGCACATACATATCACCCAGTGGGGTTTCGGTTAGAGCTCTGGCCACCTTGTTCTTCTTGCTCTTCTTCTTTTTGCCTTTCGCACTTGGTTCATGCTCTAAAATGGTCCGATTCTGGTCCGGTTCAAAGGAGTTGTCGTCTTCGGGTAATCGGTTATGCTGGCGGATGAGATCGTCAGATGCGGCCGGGAGCATTCAAATAGATGATGCCTCGGTGAGAGGCGATAGAGAAGTAACAGAGTGAAGCCGCTCTCAGGACCTTATTTGTGGTCTGAGAACGGATATGCAGGATCGTTTTAGTCGAGATCCTGAATGGGCACCGGGACTGGGACCTTGGGAAGTGACACTAGAAGAGTGGCTTTCATGGAATCAATCAAGTGATCGAACATCACGGCCGGAAGACACTAGGAATACATACTGATACTGTACTCACAGTACCCTTTTAAAAAAAAGGGAGTTGTGGCGAACAGAGACACCACTAACAGCGTATCTAGAGCGGAGATCACTCTAGTCACGCGGGGAACCTTTAATAGATAAGCAGCAACACAGCTACAGCTTGAGATGGTTCAAGCTGGTGCAGAAAATTGTAGTCCAAAATGACTTGCATGCACAAGTTACAAGGTTGAAGTCCGAGGATGAGTCAAGGAAGAAGGATGATGTTATGGTTCGCGATAAGAGAAGAGGGGGAGGGGAGGCGACCCCAGGTCACCAGTCAGGTACGGGGGCTACTAGGGTGTGATAGTATGTAAATAGGGGGGCCTAAGTCAGAGCACGGAATAATCCTTTGACAGCGTCATTCCTAATGAAAGCATGATATGGTCCTTGGTCTCTAAAGTTTTGTCTATCCATGATTTTTTATGCACCAACCCCGACTCTACAATATACCTTGTGGCCTGGTGGCATACATGAACAATGCACGCATGAGGGGAAACCTGTCAAACCATGCAAACTCCGATAAGGCCATCTTAGTCATATCTTGCGGGTTGCGGATGTCATTGTTCTTGTTGCTGACATTGCCTCCTTGCTTTTGACATGATACTGCATGGTTGGAATCAACAGCCGAGTCTACCGTTCTTTGGATATTCCCGACCATTCCTTGTTTGTTCTTTTGGTTTTTCTTTCCAAAAAAATGGCCCTTTCAAGGAGTGGTTAGCGTTATGGTTGAGTCGATGTCACAGGTCCTTTGCGGCGCAGGCAAAAATGACAACTGGTCTAGGTTTTGATGACAAATAACCATGAAGCCGGGAGACTCAGGCTCATGTGTTTAGGCTATGTGATGATTTGGCCATGTTTTCACATACAGATGGCCGCTTTATCCTCCACTGTTCTTTCGGACCACCCATCTCCAAAATACATCCCAAATGAACGTGTTTGCAAGGCACTTAAAAAAATTGAATTAAACTTAATGCTTGTTTTGCTCACAGCCATCGAGCTTCGGGAATGTTGGTGGTACAGAGTGCTGCCATAGAGAGTTGCCCTCTCTCCTGGGATGATGTCCACGGTCGCTTAGGTCTTCTTCTTAGCCGCAGCCTTGGCCTTTGCTGCCTTCTTCTTGTTGCTTTTGATCATGACAATTCCGATGAAGGTGCCTACGACGGCAGAACCCAAGAGTGTGAGGATGACGGGGATGCGGATGGCCCAAACACGGGGCGGGAAGATGTCGTGGAGAGGGTGGCCGGGGTCAACAAAGGGCTGTAAAACAAACATCAGCGTGAAGAACCAAATAATACATCTAGATTATAATCTGCATACCATCAACAGGGTCCACGCAGTGTAGTAAAGAAAGATCGCAGTCGCGACCAAAAGCATGACGGATCCCACGAATTGGCCCAGCTAAAGCACAGTCAGTGGGGCATATCCATTGAATGGGACTAGATGATTTACCATTCTGATAAAGAGCGGTAATATGAAGAAAGAAAAGAAGTATGAAAGAACGTCGATGAATTCTGGGCTGGACAGAACAACCCAGGAATCTCAGGAGCTCCCGCTGTTCCTAGTTGGCCTCTGGTCACGTGTATCTCGCTAGAGCTTTCTCCTGCTGCGTCCTTGAATCATCTTGTAACCTCAGTCCGGCTGAGATCCGCAACCACCGTCCCTCCGGTGTACATCAAACTTTCTTTCTATCCCGGAGGCCTCTTTACTTATTGAAATGTCCGATTCGGATGTTCTCCAGTCTGCGGTGCGCGTGCCCACGCCTCCGCCGGGCGCGTCGTACTCGCCAGCCGCAGCCTCTCGAAAACGCTCACCTCCGTCTCGTTCCCCCTCTCCTAATCGTCGCAGATCCCCTCCCCGTGACTCCCTTCGAGAAGGGTTCGATACTCTCAATGTCAACGTAAAACATGCCGACGACAGAGAACGGCAACTCGCCGAGCGTCTTCGCGAACATGAGAAGCGCGAGGCGGCGCGCAAGCCAATGACCGAGGAACAAAAGCAGGCCTCTGCAAAGGCAGAATATGAAAAGCTGCTCAACATGCGATCTGGTGGCACATACATCCCTCCGGCCCGACTCCGTGCGTTACAGGCGCAAATCACGGACAAGACGAGCAAGGAATACCAGCGCATGGCGTGGGAAGCTTTGAAAAAGTCGATTAACGGCCTTATCAACAAAATCAACGTTTCCAACATCAAGTTCATTGTTCCGGAACTCTTCGCGGAAAACCTAGTGAGAGGCCGAGGATTATTCTGTCGGTCGATTATGAAGGCGCAGGCGGCCAGTTTGCCCTTTACTCCAATCTACGCAGCGATGGCTTCAATCGTCAACACCAAGCTTCCGCAGGTTGGCGACTTGCTGCTTACACGGTTGATTGTTCAGTTCCGCAAGGCCTTCAAGCGAAATGACAAGGCAGTCTGCATTTCCTCTACAACTTTCATTGCGCACCTCTGCAATCAACAGGTGGCCCACGAGATGTTGGCAGCTCAGATCTTGTTGCTTCTTTTGCACAAGCCAACGGACGACAGCGTGGAGATTGCTGTTGGTCTAACTCGGGAAGTTGGTCAGCATCTGGAGGAGATGAACGCCCCTATCGCACTCGCCGTATTCGACCAATTCCGAAACATTCTACACGAGGCTGATATCGATAAGCGTGTGCAATATATGATCGAAGTGCTCTTCCAGGTGCGCAAGGATCGGTACAAGGATAACCCAGCAATCAAGGAGGAGTTGGACTTGGTGGAAGAGGAAGATCAGATCACACACCGTGCCGGCTTGGATGACGAGCTGGACACTCAAGACACTCTCAACATCTTCAAGTATGACGCGGAGTGGGAGGAGCATGAGGAGGCCTACAAGAAGTTGAAGGCCGAGATCCTGGGCGAGGAGAGTGACGAGGAAGATGAGGGCCGGTCAGATGAAAGCGAAGAGGAAGAATCCGATACGGAAGAAGTACAGATGGACATCAAGGATCAGAGTAATACTGATCTGGTCAACCTTCGACGAACAATCTATCTCACAATAATGTCCAGCATTGATTTCGAAGAATGCTGCCACAAGCTGATGAAGATCAACCTGCCGGCCGGGTTGGAGCATGAACTTCCATCCATGATCATTGAATGTTGCTCTCAGGAACGGACCTACTCCAAATTCTACGGCCTGATTGGAGAGCGATTTGCCAAGATCAACCGACTTTGGTCAGACCTGTTTGAGGGCACCTTCGCCAAGTACTACGATACCATCCATCGTTACGAAACAAACAAACTGCGCAACATCGCCCAATTCTTCGGCCACCTTATCAGCAACGACGCGATTGGTTGGCATGTCTTGTCTGTAGTTCACCTCAATGAAGAGGAAACCACATCCAGCAGCCGTATCTTCATCAAAATCCTATTCCAAAACCTGGCAGAAAATCTTGGTCTGCCTGGGCTGCAGGCCCGCTTCAGGGATGAAATACTGCGACCGAGCTTCGAGGGTCTCTTCCCCACGGAGAACCCACGCCACACTAGGTTCTCTATCAACTACTTCACCAGTATCGGTATGGGTGTATTGACAGAGGACATGCGTGAGAACCTTAAAACCCTTCCCCGTCCTACAGTGCCCGCGTTGGCTGCACGAGCCGCCTCTCGATCCCCCTCTCGCACCCCATCTGATCGATCCCGTTCAATGTGCTCGACATGCACTGGATCTCCTCACTCGCCCCGTTCCCGATCACCTTCATACTCCCGCTCTCCTTCTAGAGACCGCGGCCGTTCCTACTCTCGTTCTCTCACTCCCTCTTCCCGGGGCCAAAGCTACACGCCTTCACGCTCTCGGTCCCCAGTGCGTCGCCGTCGTGGCGAATCAAACAGCCGCTCCCGAACTCCCGCAGGACGATCCCGATCCCGATCCATCTCCCGCACACCGGCTAAGCGCAGCCGAGCACGTTCTCGCTCCTACGACTCGCGAAGTCCAAGTCGCAGTCCCTATCGATCTCGTCGCTCGGTTTCCCGATCTGTCACACCGCCGCGCCGAGGCCAAAGTTCCCCTAGCCGGAGAAACCGCAGCTACTCCAGATCAGTTTCCCGGTCTGTCACACCTGCGCCTCGTCGTGAGACGGCGTCCAGAGGCACAAAACGATACTCTTCGGAATCTGTGTCTCCGCCTCCCCGCCGACGACGTGAGGCTACAGACTCTGTCTCTCGCTCTCGCTCGCCTACTCCCAAGCGCCGGGCAGAATCGCGTGGTCGAACCCATTCGCGGACACCGCCCCGCCGTAGATAAATCAGAAGCCTTTGACGATTTGATCCCGACTTCTTGTGGATAGGCTGAACGGTCCGTGTGTTGCTGTTCATAATGAAATAGTGCCTATTTGGAGCGAACAACATGACATTCTACTTCTTTTATTTGGTTTGGTGTCAGGAATTTGAAACTTGTGGAGATTTATCAGGAGCAAATGGATTATTCAGGGGGCATCTACGCTTTTTTTAGGATTCCAATCCCTCGACTTTCAAAATAAACCACATTGTACCCCTCCAGTATTAAGTTTTTAGCTCCTAGGCGCGCTTGGTCATATTGTCATTTAGTGCTGCAGTCAAAAGGGTATCTCATCATGATCTATCGCGATCTATACACCAACCCAAAAACACCAACCTATTCAACCTCCCCAGCCTCCCAAACGCACCTATCACATAAACAAGTCCCCCCCAAAGCCCCAGAAGCCCATTCTCTCCTCTTCTGAACCGGCAACCCAATATCACAATAATGATTTAAAATCTCCGAGTCCTTCGCAATACCCCCCGGCCGGAGCTCCTTCATCTCAAGTCCGCGTGACCAAACAGCCGTCTCATCGTCTCTCCGCGCGCGGAAATTTATCTCGCTACTCCATTCCCAGGTCACATTTGGATCACATGAGTGGTTTGCAAGACACCACAGCGGATGGACAGCGCACAGCTCCGGGCCTCCATCCCAAGTCGACAGCCGGCCCGATGCCGTACCGCGGAACTTGGCAAAAAGTGTGTTGAGAACCCAAGTATCGTAGCGGTAGAGCACCGCATAGGGATCCAGACCCATTTCATCGAGGAAACGCTCCGGCTGCAGGACATTGAGCTGGAAGGAGAAGGGCAGAGTGGCGGTATCGTCTGTGGTGGGTGTAGTCTCTGCTTCTGCAGAGACAGACTCAATATTAAAGTCGTGGAAATCGCCCCAGATGTATTTCACTTCGGATAGCTCGAGCGCGTGCTTGTCCTGTGTGGCAGACATCGCGAGGGCTCTTCCAAGCAGAAGAAGGTACAGGTAATCGGCCTTATCCTTGGGATCGGGGACATCCTTCCCGATAGAGTCGAGGCCATCCTCGAGACCGCAGATCGCACCGTGATACACCTCCTGCGCCGTGTCGTGGCATTTCTGGCTGCAGAAGATAATGTCGACGCAGCCGCCCTCGCAGGCGACAGGGGGTTCGGCGGCGTACAGTTCTGGGAGCGGTGCGTTGCAAGCGTCGCAGAGATCGTCGTGGAGACGGTTTGTTGCTGTGAGCAGTGAAGACTCGCGGAGGATAATCTCATCTGGAGCGATATCTTCCTTTGCGAAGAGGCCGAGCTGCACCGAGACTTCCATGCTGGACGAGTCGTCGTCTGCTGGGGCATGCAGCACTGGCAAGGCCACCGCGCGGACCTCACACTTCGGTGCAATGAAGGCTAGTCGCTCGTTGAGCATCTTAAGGGTCTCTGGCGAACATCGGTCAGGCTCGTGTTCGTTCCAGGGATAGAGGACACGGCGGGCGAAGCCCTGTGCAGGGAGGACACTGGGATTGATTGAGTCCAGGTCGATGTTTTCGGTTTCTGAGCCAGAGCCAGAGCGAGAATTGTAGATTTGCTTAATGCGATCCATCTGCACGTTCAAAGCAACTAATGATGCTGTTGCAGATCTCTTTTCGAGTAGGGCTAACCCGCGCACGCCGAATTCAAATGCATCGCGGTAGCAGCCACAGCGGACGAGACTGCGTACTAGAAGGACGTACACCTGTTCAATGATAGCATCATATTCCTCTTGGGTGATGGGCACAGTGTTGTCGTCTTCGTCTTCATCATCTGACTCATTCGCTGCTTTCTGGGGTGCCTGCTGGGAAGGGTCTATCTTCCGCCTGGCATGGAATTCGCACTCATCTGGCTCCACCACCGACTCTAGTAATGCCAGTGCACGGTATGCATCTGCAGAGGCGAGATCCGGAAAGCCTAGCTTTTCATACTGAATGCCTCGTTCAAGGTGAAGGTGGGGGTTGTGAGGGTCTGCATATAGCCTGATGGTTGTCTCATTGCGAGCCTGGAGTACTTCTGATGCAGACATGTTGCGATGTGTTCACTCTTCCTGTTTTCAAAAATTTGACCACTCTAAATAAACACCTTGGTTTTCGACAGGGAACAACGCAGTATAGAATCGAAAGCAAGCTGTGATATCAGGTTGCAAGATTTAGGGTAGAAAAGTAGCAGGCCATGGACTTCATCGGTGCAGCCTATAGCATTAGCACAATACCAATTGATTCTTGGCTTTATAGATGAAGTTTGTGGTCTGCCCCCCTGTAGATCGAAGATATTCGTGCGGGCAAGATCTTTTTATCGCAAAAAAAAAATCCACGATAAGGACCATCACGTGAATGTATGGTTCTCTTCAGCGGAGGCCTTGTAGCCTTGAATAAAGGTGAATGTTGCTGAAATTATGTCTAAAGACAATTCACAGAGGAAGAAAATGCTGACTTGGATAGTATTATTGGCGTTTCAGGGTGAGAAAACTTCAAGACAATGCAGCAGATTCTCAGGAGAAAGCTGCTTCTACCAAGTCTTCTTGCAACGTGTAGACCATGCCATCACCACCTATATCTTGGGTATATCGACTGGTTACAGAAACTACGTTCTCGTAAAAAGATTCTTTGAGTAACTTCATTGTTATAAAGGACCAACGAATATCTCGTTCTCCAAAAGCTCATCAGCAATATTACAACCTGGGCTTATCAAGACTACTGACCTTGTGAGATTGTCGTTGAACCAATTATATCTCATTATCCTGGATCGACATAACAGACGAAACTGAAAAAATTAGAGAAACGTCGTTCACTTCCAAGTAAGGATCTGACCAGCAATGCCACCAGTGTCGGCAATTCTTATATGAGTAGCACACACATCGCTGTGCAAGATGACGGAAGGGCAGCCAAGAGTCCACATGTCATGAGGTCTACAGGCATAGGTTTGCGTGGGAAAATTTCACCCACATGCTCCCAATTGTTGGGGACAGCATTCACGTGGAGCTTAGGATGGAAGAATATTTGCTGGCATATGACTCGGACAATTTCGTCGTCTGACTTGGCGTTACATGTGGTTGATAGCAGAGCTGGTTGCCGTTGAAGAAGATCCTGTTGTATTCTGTAGCGTACCACTGGAAGTTTTGTAGCCATCTCTTCCTCTAGTGCTTTCTTTTTCTGTGCGTTTTCGTAACTCTGCACTCGACTCTCTGGCACAGAATATAGTTGGCAACGTCCAGATCCATGCTTTTCTAATGTACTCTGCCCATCAGGGCATATCCAGGGAGCTTTCAGTTCTCCACGCACTCCCGCATGTCAACCTGCCATGTGAACAACATAAGGGCGATGGGAAACTAGTGAGTATTTTTCACACTGTGCAATGCAGATATGCAGTTCTGCCTGTTCGTCCATTACATAACCTATCGAATGGTTAGTATCATTTCCTCAACAAGAACTCCAAACATACCGAGCAATTATCGTCGATCACTACAGTCCGATGTTCACCATCCCCAGCAATATTTTCAATTCCGACCCCGAGGCCGCCATGTTGGCCCCTCAAGTTAGCAGCAAGACGCTCGAGCATACTCCGCTTTTATGTACAAGTTAGCAAAGACTATAAAAAGATCCAGGACAGGTAATTTACAGTGATGTGTGCCTCACTCACGCCACCACGACGGTCAACATCGTTTTGGCTCATGATGCGATAGCTTTCATGAACTCGCTTCCGGCTCTCGAGACCGCCGATGTTGGAGATGCTTTGTCCAAGCTTGTTGGATGGATTATCAGGGTCGAGAATGTTTACACCATTGCGGGCATCATCTTGAGCGTTCTGGTCTGGCGAAAAGATTTTGATGGTGTTATCGATTCCCGAAGCGGCGATCATGGGTTCATGGGGGTGGCCTGAGTGAAAAGGTTAATTTTTCCCTCTCTAACCAGTGCAAGAAATTACCTTGAACAACGTTGACAACTTCACTGTCACCTTCTAGGATATTGACCAGATTTGCCGTCTTGCGGTTCCAGATGAATATATGACCAGAATCACAACCGCTGACCACGTACTCATCATCCAGTCCGAAATAGTTGACATCCTTGACGGTCTTGACGTTGCAATGACCGCGATAGCTTCGCATATGAGGTACACATGGAGCGTGTCGCTCGACATCACGTCGCGCCTTTCGGATGGCATATCTCTGAGGCATGTTGCTGTCAGAATCAAAACCCTCTCCGTCTTCATCCGAAGATTGAACCGTAGGCCAGCCATCAAGATCTTCATCGTCGCTTGACTCTTCTGCTCGGCTGCCATCGCTATCGTCATCGCTTGTATTTACGTCCGTGTTTGCTGAATAGTTTGCATCGCCTTGGGGGCTTTCAGGTCGAGGATCATTCTGCCTGGAAACAGAACCACCGGCCCTGGTGAGCTCATTGTGTTGAGTTCGTTCTCCGTCCATGTTGGAATCGATATCATCCTGGATTCTCTCTTCATTCGAAGCCCCCTCAGAATCGTCCAATGTGGTGTGAAGTCCACCGAAGGCACTGTTGACAAATCTGTAGTTTACTTCATTACCTGCCTCCATCAAAATTCCTCTACCTACGCGCAAAATCCAGAACCTCTTTGCAGAGGCGCGGTTGAGAGAGCGGATTTGCGAAGCAGAATTAGAAACACGGCGCTCGTCGAACCGAGTGGCTGAGTCCCCGAGGTCCTCCAAGGGCAGTCTAACAGCATTCCCAAAAGCAGTCACAGCAGCCCGCTGGGTTGGGAATAGTATGCGCGTACTATCATGCTCGAATCTGGAAGCATCCACATTCACGATCGGAGTGTCACGCGCCAGTTCCATAATATAGGGTATCAAAATGGTTTCAATAGCATCCTCTGCGGATTCATCTGGGATTGGGAATCGGCCCTGTAGTCTTCGAGGAGCATTGCAGCGTTGGAACCCCTCTAGAAGACGCTGCCTGCCTCCCTGTAGCCAGAGAAGAATTGCTCGGAGGAAGTCATAGCCAAAACGAGCTACTGGGTCGATGGGGTTATCTTCGCCCGGCGCAGGCATGATCATCTGGAAGCTTGACTCTTCTGGAACTTGTGTTTGATCTGCCAACGCATGAGCAAGTGTGCCGGCAGCTTGGACAAATCTCCACGCCGATTGGCGATTACGGCGAAGTGTTTGCTGGAAATTAACAGTCTGCTGTGATGGATTCATAGGATAGCTCCATTCGCGCATGACCTCGCCCATCTGTGGGAGAAACGTAGACGCAATTTCCAACGTGGATGAAAAAGACCTTGAGTACGATTCGGGTCCCACATCTTCAGACCCTGCGGCCTCCCGGACTGTTGTTTCTGAAAACAAGGTCTTTCGGAGTTTTACTAACCCTTTCGCGATCTGCATACTCAATCGCTGGGCATCATTCAGCACAGAATACCGAGCCTGTTCGAGCAAATTTTCGGGGTTGGTATCTAGGACACTATCTGAGAATGGGGGGAATGTAACATTTTCTGCTTCGCCATTCTCATACTGGATCCTGTAAGAATCTGGGTCTGCTGGACGACGATGGGACTGATGTCGCCCACCGCTTTCCTGCGACGAAGGCGTGGCGGGCTTCTTGCGCTTCCGGCTCCGTGAACTGCGCCGAGCCTGTCTATTCTTGCCCTTGAAAGTCGACGAATTCCCCGTCTGTGTCTCCCGGGCATCTGGACTGCGAACTAAATCAAAACTGTAGATATGATCTCCAGACCAGCTAACAACCATTTCATTGGGGTTAGCGTCACTGATTTTGCAAGCAGTGATGTGTCCATCATCATCATCAACATGTCTCGCATGGTGCTTGCCACCCGGTGCGAATCTTCGCACGCATCGCGTCGCCTTACTCATCTCCTCATCATCATTGCGACTGGTAGCGCTTGATGTAGCCCTACGTCTTGCAACAGAGGTGTCCTGCCCAAGCATCCGTCTGTCATGCAAAAAGCAGTATAGGTGCGCACCACCCAAGGCAATGTAATGCGGCTGACTTGATGAGCAGGAAATGGTGTTCAGGTCCAGGCGGTATGGCTTGTAGGATATAAGGGGAGGTGGAACATTGGAGTCATCACTTTCTAACCCTTGTCGGTATGCCATCAAGCCCTGGCCACCCCGTGACGGAGGGTATGCACTAGATGGTAGACGCAGATCCCACTGGCGGACGTCACCATCCTCAGAGCAAGTGAGAAAAAGGAACGGGGAAGATTCGGTGACGATGCGCTTTACGCTATCAGTGTGGCTTCGATACAATCTAGCGTTGGTATTGCCGTCACTCAGATGCCGTGTACTACTGAAGAACTCATTGAAGCGTCGGCTCCGAGTGGAGGCCGCAAATTCAGAGGTTGCAGCCTCATTTCTGCTTCCGGTTGAGTATTCGATGTCGAAGACACGAACCTGTGAGTCGCCGGCACACGTAACCAGAGTCCCATCATTCGAGTGTGGCATGAACTTGACGGAGAAGATGTTGGCTTTGTGGCCGGTGAAGACGGTGGTGTTGAGCGCGAATGGAGCATTGGAAGAGTCGGGTTGGTAGGAGTAGATATTGAGGTGCCTGTCATCAGAGCCTGACGCCAGAAGACGACCCGACCTCGACCAACTGCGGTACCGTTAGCATGATAAGCATCAGAAATGACAGAAGTGTTTGCCAGTCGATTAAACCAAGTGTCTCGGCCTAGGTAAAAGCTTTCAACATACCTGAGGGCATTGACACATCCAGTATGCCCACCTAGTTCATTCACAATGTCGAGTTCATTGACCCACTCCTTGGAGCCGTAAATTCCCCGAAGCCCAGCACGCCGCACTTGCTCCCCGCATTCACGGCGCCAAAGGCGATCGTAGAGCGAGTTTTTCATGGTCACTGGGTCAGATGAACGAAAAAGCTGAAATGGGTTGCTAGATACAATCGGCAATCATCTTGAAGGGTACTGAGCAAGTGGATACCGTCTCTTTGCGGGTGACTTTTAGCTGTCAAAACGGAAGCTGCCGTGGATGACGTCAAGAAGAGTACTCAGAGATGACTTTTCAAGGGTTACATCACTTCGTATGAGAACAGATCATTAGATATCTATATTGCGTAAAAAGTGATAGTGGAATGAGAAAGACATGTATAAAGTAGGTATGAGGGCAAAACGAGCGGATTTGCGATACTCCAAGATCTAGATCACCCCCGGGAGGTCAGGTTGACATGACGCCAGCTGACTCATCGAGTTACTGCACCGTGCAAGCTGTGGCTGCCAAGTGCTTGAGGCAAAGTACCACCACTCGTGTCATTTTCGTCTCCTATTCATTTCTACATAATATGCGCATGTTTATCCGGGCGGTAGAAAACTAGCTGTGTGTATTTGTAGGCTCGATCAAATATTAATATAGACCACAGACTAGCTTCTCCATGCCCCGATCCGGGGAGCCCTTATTTCGCTTCTAGAGCTTGCCAGCTGCATCGCAAGAAGGCTGACCGAATCTCTTTCTGAACGCACCACCTCTGTCTCCAATGTTTGTATGGCACGAATCTCCTGCGTCATGAGTTGTATCAATTCAGCCAAATTCCTAGCTACTCTGACAAGAGCAGACTGTTCTAGATGCTCCATTTGTCCGAAGCCCAGAATATCAAGAGCTTGTAGTTGGCGTACACAGAGCTCCAGCCTCGCATTTAAAGCACGTGATAATTCTTTCCAGCTTTGCCCCAGGGGATCAATGAAGGCGTCAATATGAAGGCACCCTAGTCCACGGTTGTGACGAATAAGCTCCGCTTGGTCCAGCCAGTCTTCAAAAGTCTTCACAGCCTGGTAAAACTGTGCGCTCTGGCCAACGATCATATCCGAAACATCTTGTAGAACCTGTGATAAAATTTGAATCTGCTCGGAGAAATCATGTGGGCCGCGATGTTTGTGACAATTAGAAAGCCAAATCTCTAGGGCCTGCACATTCAAGCGATACTGCCGCTGCGTTTCATCTGCCAGTACCAAGCGATATTGACTAGCAACACTGTCGTACTTTTTGCGCAGACGTGTCTCGGAATCAGAATTCCACTCAGAATGGCTTTGCTGTGAGTTGGAATGGAAAAGACTGAGCTGAAGAAGTTCAGTTTGTAGTGCTGCAATATCCGGCCATGATGAAGAGATCGGCATATTTCCAGGCTGAGATTCGCATCCAGGGGTAGGCGTTGGGGGGTTGGAACTTTTCTTAGGGGATGCTGGCTGCTGGTAGTTTGAGAGTGCTCGTGCACGTTGGCCGATTGCTGGGGTTGATTCAGCTTGTTTTGTATTTTGTACCACCTGACTCTTGTTCCGCACATGGGCTTTGGCTGCGGCCGGTGGTCCTTTACTGGCGCTGACAGGTTGCTTTAAAGAGAGGGACCGTGCGGAGCGTGGTGGAGGTAGCAATTCTGTTGTCTTGGCCGAAGAGGGCCGTCTGATCGTAGGAGGTTGTGCCGGGGATTGACTTTCGGGCACTTTGCGGGATGAGGATGCCGAGATTGATGGCGCTAAGCTCTTTGTCGAAGGGACTGTAATCTTTGCCGAAGGCATCTTCAACGCACCAGGTCGCATGATGCTCTGACGACGGCTAGGTGCTACCCCGGCCTTCTTTGATGCAGTGTCCGACTGTGTTGATTTTTTAGACGGCGATATCTCTTGCTGTCTACTTGGTGACAGGTCCCTGCGTAATTTCGGCTTGCTGCTAGGTGGCTGAATACGCCCCTGTCCCATTCCACGACCATTGTCTTCAGAAGCATTACTGCGCTGGGGGAGCAGTGTTCTTCCTCGAGCAGTGAGTCGATTGTCTTTCAGAGCTACGCCTTCGACCGGCAAGGGATTTGATGGCGAGCGGGTCTTATAATTCGTCTCTCGGGCAGAGTCCTTGCTTAGGTTGGCCTTGGTGTGCAGTGGAGTGGAGGGTTTTGTAGCAGGTCGTGCTATATTTGAAGTCTGCAGTAATTAGCACGGCTTTGTCTGTAGCTGTTGGTATGGCAAAGGTAGCACAGTGAGGGATGCGATAGCTGCATGGAGGATAAACAAATGGAGCACTGACTTGTTTACGGGGGTCGCGCAGCGAAACCGAAAGTGTTGGGATGGGCATGATCGTACCAGGTCATCAGATGAGAATTGGCATGATGCATTGGGGTCAAGAGCTGGGCGTTATCTGGTTAATGAAGAAACGGGGAGGTGTTGTATTTGATCTCCTGTTTCGGTTGGAGGGCGCTTAGGCTCGCTGATGTGGTCCCTAATGGATATTAGGTCCTAATATCCATGCCGCTGCAATGACAAACAGACGTTCTTTTTGTCTTTGTGATCTTTTGGCCTAACGTATTCGGTAAGCGAGCTGGCCATGTAAGCGAGCTAGCCGCCCCAACCAAAACGCGTCCATGAATTAGATCTTAGTTAGTTCAACCACCCACCATACCACCAATTCGTACCCAATCCTCTCGAAATTCAATAGAGCAGGAGGGTAGGATCTTACTAGCTATCCAGGCTTTTAAGAATCAAGAAATCTCTTTAATTCGTGAAGTGGCGCGCCGTTTTAACGTCCTAAGATCCACCCTTTCTACCCGCCTGAATGGTATACAACACCGCGCGATTTCTCGCGCCAACTCTTATAAATTGACCGATACTGAAGAGGAATATCTTTAGAAATAGATACTCTCTATAGATTCTCGTGGATTAGCCCCCCGGCCCTCTATAGTACGAGAAATAGTAGATCTTCTTCTTTAAAAGCGTAGAACTACCCTAGTTCTTTCGGTCGGCGAGAAATAGGTATATAACTTCGTAAAACAATATCCTCTCCTCTCCTCCCGATTCCCGAAACGATATAACTATAAGCGCGCGAAATATAAAGACCCTAAAATTATTAGGGAGTAGTTTAATCTTATTTAAAGAACTATCCTTTAATTTAGAATCGATCCTAACGATATTTGTAACTTTATTAAGGGTAGTTTTATAATAGGATTAACTATAACTATAAGGGTTATTATAAGGAGTGAATATTACGGTCGGAGGCCGGTTTTATAACCTAGAAATCGCGAATAGGTGATAGTGGTTAAATATGCGAATACTGTTGTTACCAGCCAGTTCTTCAAGTAAAAGAGTGCATTTCAACGAGAATACTAAGTATGTCACGGTGTGAACCGTAATGCTTAGTAAAAGGAAGATCACGGCACGTGATCTCCGACCTGTTTATCTTGAACTTCAGTTCTAGATCCTGTTGTAGCTCTTCGAGCTACGTCTTGTATATTAGCCTGCCCCTGCCTGTACCTGCCTGTCAATGGGAATCTGATCTGTTACAACCTGTTCCTACCAGTCATCTCCTATCATACCGTCCTGCCAGCCCGCACCCTGACAAAGTACAGAGAAAGAAGAAGAAAGAAAGAAAGAAAGAAACCTGCGAGACAGGAACCTTTATGGGGTCCTGTCACGATCCAACAATCAAACAATACAAACCTCGTCAAGACGGAAACTTCCGGCAGAAATCCTCCCAGATCGTCCTCCCAGATCGTCACAAATACTTCTAGGTAGT